GTACCTGTAGGCAATGCTCTTTATCGTGCACATTGTTAGGCTCGTCCTATCCCATCTTGTGTAGCTGAAAGGTTTGCCATCTGCCCATGACCACTCTTTGTTGGATGGGTAATTCTTTTGCCTTCCTCCAAGCCAGAGCAACTCGGTATCCTTCTCCTCATCTTTCTTCAACTGGACTTTCGCTATTTCTGCAAAGATACACATCTTTGATTGCAACCACATTATAGACCGCATTTTGTGCAGATATGGGAGAGGGTCTGGCCAACCACATCTACCATTTAAAACTAGGCGCGGTTCCCTTCCCGAGCTGCAATATGACACTGGAACGGTTGAACCATTGCACTCAATACCCTGCTAGGGCCAAAGTATCTCCCGATTAGCTAGACATTCCACAATAAGCAAAACAGAAATTAAACTGTCTAGCGGACCTCTGCGCCATCGTTAGATATGGAGATGGGTAACGACACTGATGTGTTTCTTGTAATACCGAATGAGTAAAGTAAGCTCGGAACGCCCATAAACTCCGGAGAATATCAACGACAGACTGAGCAAGCACTTCACAGGACGACTCTGCGATATATAAGCGAATGGGTCCGCAGTTGCTGTGGTGTGCCACTTTTGCCGCTCAAATTTGCACGGGAGAGAAGCTGTGAGGTGGTGGCCTTAAGTGCCGTCTCAGGGGAGACCAAAGAAAAGACCCTTTCGCAGCCCAGACAGAAGACGTGGAATACGAGTACAGGGCGGAAGATACCCAAGATGTTCCTCGATAAGCAGGAGCTGGCTCTCGCCCATCACCTTCATGTACACCAAAATATGAAGTCATCTCCAGTCGCAGCCTGACTGGAGAAGGCCTTTGGAAATAGCTACCTAGAGACCGGCGTTCTTGGTCTAGAACACTTCCATCACGAGCACCTCGACAACTGCGCGGGGTCATGGTATAGAACGGAAGTACCTGGAATGGAAAGACCGATATTTTCTTCGTGGACCCCGGACTGAAGGTGAGCGCTGGCGGTTACATCGAGCAACTCGAGAAGAATATCCTCCCTTCATGTCGTCGCCCGTACCATCTTGGAAACTTTGTACTGCCACCTGGGTGCCACCAAATTGAAGGGCGTTGAAAAAACTCTTGCCTACTTGGAATAAGGGCGTTGAGTACCTGAAGAAGATGGAATATCTAAGTGTGTCACCTGACCTAAACCCCTCGATTACCGGGTTCGAGCGGAGCTCAACAGGGTGGTCTACAGTGGCGGAGAAATCAACGACCTCGCTGAACTCAGGCACCGAATCACGGTCGCGTGGCAGAATCTCTCGATCGATGGCGCTCCTCCAGAAGGCTGTGGCGGAGTGTCATGATAGTGTCCAACGTGCTGTGGATATGACGGTGGAAATGTCAAATCAGAGTTCAACAAAGTTCAATGTAGCGCCTTGAAAGTCGAGGAAAAAGTGTCTTTTTTCGCCCCTTCTCCCTATATACTCCGTCGCGCTCCTTAAAGTGCAGCATTTGCATCGATGCCGTAAAAAGCACATACTCAGCGGTACGCAACAATCAGAAATAAAACGAACATAAGTAGCTACAAGTCGCAAGTAACGACAAGCCAAACGCCTAGCCGGCTGTGTGGCGGCTCGTAGGGAATAGAGATGTCATCAGTACCTCCAGCCCGTTCCCGTGCATGTACTTTTGATTGGACAAAAGCACGCTCTCGCAGTCACGATCTCATCCTCCTCACACATGGCAAGGAGAGGGAACAAAGGTCTATCCTTAGAGAAGTAGAGTTCTGCATCACTGACTGCCCCATCCTCGCCACAGAGGCCTGAACTCTCTCCGAACAAGGTGATCATACAGTCATGCAAATAGCGCTGTTTAACTCGGGAAGTGAGAGCCGGGAGTCATATAAATTGGGCTATTTAAATCAGGAGCTGAGAGCTACAAACAACAGATGGAAGAAATGTTCCCTTTTGCCCTCTGTCTACTATCATTGAAAGGTCTCGGACTCAGCTGCATTCGCTCACAAGGGAAGGATGGTAGGTCGAAGTGGCCATTTGAAATGAAATGTATACCGGCTGAAAGGTCTTCGGACGGGAATTACGAAACCGTCTTCCATATCTGCTGCGGACCTCCCAGAAAGAAGTTACGGAGCTTTTTTGGGGGAGAATCACTACAAATTGGCGGCGTAAGGCTACGAGATCGTGGCAGCATGGCCGAGTGGATACGTCGTAGGGCTCACGGATGCGTGGTCGAGGGTTTGGATCCTTGATGCGTGTGCTCTTTTGCATTTTTTCGAAAGTGGTCCCTGTGCACTTCAAAGCTATTTTGCATAACACTTGTCCTGATAATGTCGTGATGTAATGATTCTGAACTGATGGAGCCATTGCGAACGATTTCATGGAGATCACCTCCGGCTGAAAAGATTGTCATACGAGCCGAAAACTTCCAGCAGATACGAAAACACTTTGAGATAGACATAATTCAACATTATGCCACTGGTGAATGAAGCTCTTGCCCATCGCGATCTCCAGCATGATTGCCACATCAACGCCACTTCATATGGAAGCATTTTCCCCACTATAATCATCTTCCTGCACAACTTCGGATTCGTTTTCCGGTCATGTCGTTTGGAGAATAAATTCATTTGAAGGCAAAATCTTTCTTTGGAGTGCACTTTTGTTGTATATGCTTTTCAAATCAAAGAAAGAAGAAGACAACAGCCAGAAGTGATTTCTATTGAATGGTTCGCAATGGCTCCATCAGTTCAGAATCATTACATCACGACGTTATCATGGACAAGTGTTATGCAAAATAGCTTTGAAGTGCACAGGGACCACTTTCGAAAAAATGCAAAAGAGCACACGCATCAAGGATCCAAACCCTCGACCACGCATCCGTGAGCCCTACGACGTATCCACTCGGCCATGCTGCCACGATCTCGTCAGCCTTACGCCGCCAATTTGTAGTGATTCT